GGTGTTAACGCACCCGCCGTATATAGTCCTAACCTTGCCCTATTGCTATTGCGTCTTTTCAGTATAGGAATAGGCAGTGTCAGGTTAACATCACGCAAAGACAGCCAAAACCACTTGTCGCGGCTTTTTAATCAGAAGCGCCAAAATTTCTATAGCATTGGGATCATGTCACTCAGGGCCGTCTTTACCAATGGTGCGGGGGGTGCAAGGCACCCGGGCGCCGCACGTTGGGGTGCGTCGCACCGATAATCATCGGGAAATTTTCTGTGATGGGGTGGGGGAGGCCCCCGGAGCACTGCGCCTGTTGTGCTTAAGACGGGCCTGATGTCACTTCTTAAAAGATGGCAAAAAGTTATCGAACGAAATGGTACCTACATACTTTAGTTAAATTTAAATATCTTTATTAAAAAATGTTTTGAATTTGTCATAAGTATAAAAATGCGAAGATTTTTTCATAACTATACCAGTAACTTGCACAATACAAAAAACATTTAAGAACAGAATATGTAATGATATACATAAGTGATATAACTGTGCGCAGCAGTAAGATAAGAACCAATGCTCGGTGCACGTAATCACCCAAGAATGGGTGAATCACCGATTTTCAGCCATCACCCAGCCCAGAGTAAGCGGGGCAGATTCTTGTCAAAATAATATAAATAAAAAAAATTAAAAATGTCCAAAATAAAAGATAGAAATAGTTTTAATGAAAAAAAAAATTTCAATGATAGATAATATCACAGAGACACAGAGGTCAAGTTAGTAACAAAATTAATATAAAATGGATTTAAGTATATTAATTTAGGAGTTAATTTGGAATGTCAATTATGTCAACTTCAAAAAGAAAAATAAAATTATAAAATCAATAGCTTTCAGGACAAATCAATATTTCAATCACCTCACCAAACATACCTTCTGAAACCACAAATAGGGTTTTTTTGAAGTGAGGTTTCTCAGCGGGAGTGGCAGATCATTCCAGTACTAGGACACTTGAAATCGAAAACTAATTTGAAAGCCACAGTGCGGTGATGATAATACGCAAGTACGAGTCATTAGCTATTTTGTAATTATAAGCCAGCCACCAGGATTCGAAATTAGTATGTAAAAATTAACAAATGCTAACAAACTAAAGATCCTATAATTAGGCTTCAATTGATCTAAAAATTAAAAATTATTCGGAATGTAGTAAAAAAAGGGGGAAATAAGCCATTTAATAGGTTTTAAGAGTGTGCATGCCAAAACTATAAAACAAAAACAAAAATTAGTCACGTCATAGTTACTTAGCCGTAAATCAACCGATAATAAGTCGTAAGAACCAGAAAAAACCCTAACGCTAAAATAAAATAAATTTAAAAAATAACTAAAAGTCTCTAGATGCCAATTCCAGTGACATGCATCTTAACTCTGTTTGTTTTGTATCCGACTGTTTCTTTTTGCTGGTTACCCTCATAATGTAAACTAATATAAGGTACTGTACTCAGAGTTTTTAAGTTAAGCAGTATTGTATTGTACGCTTTTCGTAATTACTAGGATTTTTTTTGTTAATTAATAATAATAATAATAGAAATGATTATTTTAATCCTCAATAGAAAACTAATTGTCATCATGGATGTCGTTTTCTTGCACTTCCGTTATGTGAAGTCATGGTAGTGTCCTTTTGACATAGTTCCATTAATTCGGCATGTACGGCATTATTTATCGGGAGCGGCTCTGTGTACACTATTTTTAATGACTTTTCATCGTCCATAGAGGCAACTCAAGTACCTTATACCCAGTAAATGGCAAAATACTTGCGATACACATAAGTACACGTGGACGCCTCACTGGGGTGCCATTGCTTGTAGAAGCCTGTCTGGTGTTACGCTCAGATCTCGTTTTGACGCGGTATCTAATTGGAAATATTCATCATCAAAATCATATTAAGTATTAGTGGTATCGGTCAATTTATAATCTTGATGTAATGTTGATAAATAGTGAGAAATTTGCGACATGACATGAGCATTGTTAAATTTTCATTTTGAAGCACAAAACCTCTGATCAAAGTGCTTGCATCAGTGTTCCGTCTGTATCAAGTAAATCAGTAATTTCATAAATATTATGTAGGTTGACAAGCGTTACATCATACATAAATGAAGAAGTATTGAAAAAAAAAAACATTAGTTCCCGTAATCAAACTAGATGCCGCTACGGTACGTTCTTGATTTCTCGAAGACAACCCATCCGGTTTTCTTTCATGTTTAAAAGTAAATTAGTTTTCAAAACTCAATAACAACTTATATTCTTTTTGTACTTTTTCGTATTTGTATTGATATCTAAGTTTAGAAATTTTCAAATTTCAGTTTTTTAATATGTTAGTTAAAAGGAACGGAAATGACTGTCTTTGGTCCATTCCTTTCCTGCAAAAATCGACTTTTGCTAGAGTCGCCGTCTAGTGGAGCTGCTTTTTTAGTGATTTCGATTTTTTTTTAATAAAAACGCACAGAATCAAATTTAATGAGGAAGCTCATTAAATTTGATTTTGTGCGTTCTGATAAATAACGGATAAAAGCCGATGTTCACACTCTAAATAAAAAAGATATAATAAATAGATAAATAAATGTATTTAAAATAAAACAATAAATATACGAGTAGTCAAAACATTAAACATAATTTACAATCTATTATTACAATTTGTAATAATAGATGGCGCTTACCAATTGTGAATCGCGGTATGATTTAATTTTCATACCATTCATATACAGGGAGGAACGAATGACCGACACAGCCGAAAGTTTCAAGTTAGGTTACATGCAAACGTTCATTTTATTTGACAAATATTTAAAAATAGAGGAGGTGTAAAAATGGAGTAAAAATTTTAAATTTCTAAGTGTTGACAACCCTTTAACGCGCATGCGCCATATCGATTGTGCGCAGATTACAACGGACCGCGAAATACATTTATTTAATTTAATTATTTACCGATATCTTAATGATAGTCGATGCTGAAAATGTTCAATTCTTCTCTGAAGACAGCTAAGCACGCTCTTTTGCATGCCAGTGTATGCAAAAGATATGCACGCGCAAAACACATCACATTTCACACAAAACTAAACACAATCTTCACTAAACAAAACTTAACACTCTAGTATCTTATTAACAAAAATTCAATTAAAAATGCACTAGAACAAAACAAAAATCGACAAAAAAAGACGCTTCGCAGCGGTGCGTCGGCGGCGATGCGCAACAACACTCCAGCGCAAAAGGTCGGCGGCGACTGAGGGGCCAGAAAATACCGACAGAATAATGAAGCCGCCTGGCGGCTGGCTGGTGGGGTGGGGTGGGGCTTTGATATCGAGGGACGAACTCGGTTCACATTTTTTTATTCGTCTTTTGATATCACGCATTTTTTAATGTTCTTTTTAAATGCTATTTTAATAACTAATTACTCAATGTTTTTAAAACAAAGTTCATTTGTGTTAATGACGAATCCCTGGAAGATTTGTGAGTTTATCGAGTTTAATTAACGATCCCGTTGTTAAAGGAGTATTACCCCATTCAAACAATTTTTTTGGAGAACTGCTCTTTTAAAATAACGTAGGTTAATGTTAGACTGATCTCTCTTCAATAATTTAGGAAATTTTACACTCGGTTTCTTAATTGTGAATTTAAAGTTAAACGTCTCAAACTAACATCACTTAGTTTTCGTTTCCGATTTTAGTTTTTTGATGATCATTTGATAGCAGTTTGATAAAACTAGGACTATTTGACTTGTGAAATTTAAAAAAAACTTTGGTTATTGAGAATAAGCAGTAGAAATTTTCTACTTTCAAATCAGAAACCGGCTGTTAGTTTGTAAATCGATTTAAGCATTTTGACTGCCTTGTTTATTGATTGTCTGGTAGAATTTGCATGAATGCAGTCTTATAAATCACAAACTAGTTTATTTCGTTTTTAGAAATGATGAAGTCAATGACCGATTAAAATTTTTCCTTAGTACGTCCCAAAAACAGCTGACTCAGGGTTGAAAACACTCATTTTTTTTCAAAAACTTTGTATTTTAATATCTCCGAAACTACTTGACCTAGACTTATAATTTTTTTACATCATATTAAACACAAATAGTACTGTCTAGGAATCTCGGGAGTGTCGGTCGTTCTGTTCCACCGAGTATACAATTGTTATTCCAAATAAAATACTTTCGCCCGTGTACTTAAATAAATACTATAGCAAAACTTAAGTCTCTTATTGAACCCTCACTCTAGACCTCGACTTTGTTCAGCCGAACAAGAAGCTACATTAGTCTCATTTTGTTCTCCAGCAATCTTAGTATACTTTAAATAACGTCTAGATTAGGGTTTTTCAATACGTCGTAATATTGTTTTATGTGTATTGTATTGCCTTGATTTGATGATGTCAATAAATGTCAATCAATCAATGACAAACTAGAAGTTTCAGAAAATTTACTACTTTCATATATTACTGAAGACATTAAAATTGCTTAACCTTGGCATCGTGGAACGCGAACGCGTTAACCACTGAGATTTCGAGATAGTACCTAGACCTTAAACCAGGTCTCTCCAATCCTGTCAAAAAACGGGCGGGACGGGCTTCAGCAAGGCCGGCCTGCCTCATTAAATTGGGGGGAGGAAGACCCGAGATCTACACCCCCACCTCCTGTCCGCCGGTTTTACAATAGGCAATCCTCTTCCCCTTTCCGTCCTAGATTTTCCAGATGTTCGGGATTGGTCTGGATTGCTCCGACTTTTCGCAGGATGTCCAGAGTCTCGAAAAAGAAGGAAATGTTCTGTGAAATATTATTTAGTTGATAAAATCATTAAATCGATTAATCAATCCTTCGGTAACGGCTGAAAAAACCTAACCTTAATAATATTTTTCTGAGGCGAAGGATGCATGTATCGATTTTTGTCCCGAGTAATCCCGATTTTATGAAATTTTTCCCAGATATTTTATTCTACCCATCAGGCAATCGTACTCCCACCTAAGCCTCCAAGAGCTAACCTATGGCCTACGGCTTTCCCCATGGGCCTAACAAGCAGTACTCTTCTGCGCGCGGCCTACAGAGCCCGTTATCCGGCGCCGCCAAGGTAATTTTACGCGAAATTGTAGCCTCACCTGGCAGTGCGGAGAGCGACGCATAACACTAGCTTCTCTTTATTATTACTAATACAATAACAGTTACTTACTTAACCACAATTGTGGGAACTTTTGACAATGACTCGCTTTTAAAGAGGTCCAAGACAGCACTACGAGTTTTTGTTTAATATAAACAAACATTGTAACGTGCGGTCTCTACAGGATAATAGTGTATTGTGTTTATCTTTGTCACACCTTAATAGATCTATTGCATTAAAAGAGTCTAACGATATATTTAACGATCTCATTGGTTTAATACTACATGCTAAGGTTATCTTTATCGGTGAGCTTCATACGTTTTATAAATATGGTATAACACTAATAATATGGTTTTGTCAGTTATCATTTTGTTCTCGGGGGACGGTGAAATGTTTAATACAAACTTCAATCACTGATCGAAGACAAAATAATAAATAAGTATATCGAAGCATACAAAGAAGAAGAACGGTCAGTGCAAAAAAGTTTTCTAATTGTGAGTTTTCGAACGACTACCACGGCTGTCAATGTCAACATATCACAACAATCACTAAAAAGCACAGTCAAAACAAACATTTATTTCTGTTAAAAATAATTTTAATTGTTAAAAAAATGTCGAAACTCAGTGAAGTTGCAAATATTAGGACATGTTGGATATGCCTTACAACAAATTACACTGACGGATTGACTTTACACGGTGAAAGTTATTGGTCGCAAATTTATAATTTCTGTTTTGGTGTCAGTGTAAGTACATTACATAATATTTAATATGTAATTATCATTAGAAATAACTTTTCAAAGTAAAGTCCAAAGAAAAGCTGTGTAAATAGAAAATCTTTAGCATATGTTGATATTAGAAGCTTATTTTAGTTGTCTACCTCGAACTGAGTTCTCTACTTAAAAATGTTTCTTGTTCTTTTTCTTCACTTATATTTTGTAAAAAGTTGAAGAACCTGCAACCTATCAATAAGGCCATAGCATAACCTATACATAGACTTCATAATACCTCAAGGCCCTCAATTTATCATTGAAGAATTTAGGCATCAGATTTGACAATCTGATCTACGTAGTACAATTTATGTTCAACAAAGCATCAATAAAACAAGTAATTTGTTGATTGTTTATAGTGTTATGGGGTAATCATGAAAGTGGGAAAATGATCAGAAACAAGCAATATGTTTGTTCTTTCTTCCTGATTAAAATATTTTTTATCTATTAAAAGTTTGTTTATTTGGAATCTTTATAAACAGTTGATAAAATTAATACCTGATTTGGTGGTAAATCATCATTTTAAGAATTTACCTGTTTTGCTATTTACCCTTAGTACCGTATGATATTTTTAGATTATTATGATATGTACAACTTCATTATGAGAACATCATTTAAAGTTTTAGTTGAAGTTTAATCTTATTGTAGTAATATAATACCAATTAATACACGACTATGTATAGATGACTCCAGGTATTCCCAAAAAGCTGTGCGGTGAATGTGTAGTGAAACTTAAAGAATTTACCAAATTTAAAGAAATTGCTCTAAAATCTGATCAGCTTTGGAAGGGCATATTTCAGCGTGTAAGTAATATTCAGTGTTTAATTCATTTAAGCTTAATTAATATAAAATTCATGTTTGCTATATAACTCAAACAATTTAACCTACATTTATTCCATACACAGTCCTGATTCTCAATAAAAACATGTGATTTTATGTTTGAAAATAAGGATATACTTTTTATAACAGTGAAATACGTAGATGATGAACAAATTCAGTAATAATCAATACTTGAATAAATTAAAAGTTAAATGTAACTATATAACAAAAAAAAACTGACCAAAAACAAATTCGCCATAAATAGTTTTTAAAAAATTTACCCGTAGTATTATGTACTGCATTATTTTCAATAATTTAGGCCGAATAATAGGCTGGTTTTACTACTTTTATTTTATAAATGAATGGTCTAATAATATCTGAGAAATAATGCAGAAATAACAGTATATCTGTGATTAATAGTTTAAGAGATATGTGTTTGTAGAACTGCTGTCAGTAAACCGAAAACAATCCAAACAAATTCAAGCCACAAAAAAAAAACATGAGTTTCAGGGCAATCTTTTTAATAAAATTGTAATTTGTGCCTTTTTGTTTAAAGTTGTCATAATAAAGTTATTAGATTCTATGTAACTTATTAATGCAATATATAGGTATTATAGTAAATTTTTTAAATTTTCAAAGTGTAATATTTGCCATGTTCCAGTAATGAAATATATTTTGTTAAATATTTATAAATTAAAAGGTTAATATTTACTGAACATATTACGCAAACCTGTATTATATCTTACTAAACATCCATATTTTGGAGATCAAGGGTGATGGATTTGCCTATTTTCTTAAATAATTTAAAACTATTTCTTTCAAAATTATTGAATATTTGATATTATCTGACTAAAGCCATTTATTTGATATCACACAATATAGTTTGTGTATCTTTTTTTTATATAATTATCTAACTTATCCCCTAAAGCATATGTTTGAAATCCATTTATTTGTATTGCACAACCTCTGAGCCACTAATTTGCATATGTAACTAAATTTCAACTGAATCAGTATGTTTTTAGTTGGTAACTCTAAACAATCAATTTAAAAAATAATATTAACAAATTAAATAACTTTGAAATAAAATTAAATTATTAGTTAAATAAGGAGCTTAGAATTTAAGAAATTTCATATATTTGCTTATTTAAGTGTTGATTTTTATTTCTTAAATTTAATTCAGATTTGTAATTTTAGAATGAACTTAAATTAAATGTCAACGAAGATAAACCAGAGAATTCTCATGAAAATCATAACAAAATAGAATTTGTTAACAATACTTTTAACTCACATTCCTTTATTGATGGTGATGGAAATAAAGATACAGAAAATATTGAAATACATTTAGTAAACAGAGACTCGAACACCAACAAAAATTATGAAGCTTTTGATATTAAGGATAATGTTGCTGTCGTAAAAATAGAGGAAGATAGTAGTGATGATAATAAGGATACTTTATGTAATCAAATCTCATGTTGTTCGTGCAATAACAAATTTGGTAAGTACAATACAGATATTAACAAAAATTTAATATTTCATAATCTTCATATTTCTTGAGCTCGATGGTGCAGTGATTAGCGCGTTCGTTTGCGTTGCAGAAGTTAATCAACTGTAGTGGATAAGCGCGCGGCCCGCGTTCTTTGTTGTTAAGCAATTTTTGCAAGGGTCCGTCACGGGATGGGTGACAAATAATTATTTTCTCGAGCTACTCCGTGCGTCAGAAGCAACGTTAAGTCGCTGGTCCCCGCTGTATTTGCTGTCTTTAATATCCTCCAATCCGCATTGGGCCAGCGTGAAGGGTCATGGCTTATCATCTTCATTATACGACATACCAATTGTATGGTATGGTATGTAAAACCAATTTTTTTTTATTTATAATGGGCTCACTCTTGACATCGATTTAGCCCAAGGATATACGAGCTTGTCTAGAAGGAACCTATACACTCTTGTCTTCAATATGTCTGGGTTATATGCTCTCGGGAATATATACACAGGCAGGGGGACACTCCTTGGCAGTGCGCAGTAAAAAAAAGAAGAATAGCATTTTGTGCGGCATCTTGTAATATTTACACAAATGCTCAAACGAGTTACTATTCATAGTAAAAAAAAATTTGGTAGTTGATCTTTTTTTTTTATATTTTAGATACTGTAGAAAATTACAACGAACACCATGAATTGTGTTTAAAAAGCGAAGACGATCAAGTAAACGCCTCGGAAACATTTATTGGTAAGTCTCGACATTTCTACTCAGTGAAGTATAGATCCTATTTCGATATTTCAGCTTTCATTTACGGTTACATACCGTTTTGTACATTCCTAAGAATCCCATCATATTTTTGGCTTAGTAACTGTGTTCTGGTGTAATCTGAAACCGATTTGAAAAAAAATTTAGCCCTTTTGGTGTAATCTAAAACTATTTTGGAATAGTTTTAGAGTTAGGTTAGAAACTCAGCACTTAGGTATTGGGTTATTTTCTTTTGCAATATAAAAAGTTGATCAGTTATTTAAATTAAAGATTCCTTTATAACTCGTTTATGTTGTTGTAGACACAGAGAATAATTATTGTATTGATAATGAATATTTTTTACAAAACGAAAATCATCAAATAGATGCCTCAGGATCATTTGAGGGTAAGTTTTATGCGTCTTATTTTACGATAGCATATTTAAAATACTTTACGCGGTTTCTGAATTGAGTATTTAAATTCAAGCACGTCTTAAACAGTGCCTACTAAAACAGGTTTTCGTTTCTGATTTTAGTTTTTTTAAACTATGACTTTCTTATTTGGTGAAAGTATAAAACTTAAATTATTGACAGTAATCCTTTGATATTTTTAACTTTTTCGAATTCGGAAACCGACCGATAGGCATTTGTCAGTTTCTAAAAGTACTATGAAGGGTAATTATTAAGTAGCTGAAAAGATCTATCATGATAAGGTTATTATCGAACAAGAATCAAGTTACAAAAACTGTGAATGTTATTATTCGTAGTCCTTTAAGCGCGATTCGAACACGCAGTGAGCGCGCGTTTATAGTCGCGTATATGTCGTGGCCATATTGTAGAATTGATCATTTCATTAAACGGCCACCTAAAATCGATCATATAATTTACGTTTAACGATATAACAATCCACGTTTGGTCATATCATTTATGTAGGGTGATCAAAAATAAAATTTAATTATTTGCTGAAATAGCTTGCATTATGATTTTATGGCCTGAATAAAATAACTGCGAAATAATGTCTTAAATTTCTAACCTATTACGTGAATCAGAAGGAAATTTAGTTCAGTTATGTCCCAAAAGCTCTATATCCTCCAATATTTTTTTAATCATCTGGAGCTAGATCTAAATCTAGTTTTTATCATAATCTTATATCCATAAAACTATAGAATAGCCATTGTCGCCGCACCTTCGCACTACACTCACTAAACTTACTTATATAATTGTTTTCCGTTGCTTGGTCACCCTACTTTCTTTAATTTATTATATAACCTTAAAATACGTCATGTATCACAATAACAATGGGACATCAGCACCTCTTACAGAGACTTATGTAACTATTTTACGACATGATCACTAATGTTTGGCCACATTATGAAGCAGTCATACGATCAGCCGCATATATCGTAGAACGCAAATTATCCATTAATCTGGCCAGGCCACAACATAATGTGTACAAAAACATTTTCCATTTCGTGAAATACGATTATTTCATGAAATGGCCGGGCGCATTATGAATTGGTAAATTCTACGATCTGGCTACGATAGCGACACTGGCGAATTGTCTAATTTCAGAATTCATCATCCCTTTCAGAGGTTTAGCAATCGTGACAGGAATTTATGGAATTATGTAACGTTTAATGTCGCAATCACTTTCGGAACGACTGATGATTTTAATAATCAAGGAACATTATAAAAACTCGTCATTTAATTGCGACTAACGCTTGTCTCACTTCCAACTAAAGTCTTATTAACGATGTCGTTCATTCAACATCTTCCAAAAAAAGCCGCGATCGCTACCAATTTCATATACCAAATAATTGTAACGTCAGCAATCACAAATAAAAGTTCGTGTTCGTAAATATTTTTCAGACATCAAATTGAAATGGATTGCGATTGTTTTTTAAATTAGATAATTAGACCCCAGCAAAGCGACCGCCTAACTATCTTGATTCATATATGTCAAAGTAGTAAGATGAAACGAAACATCGGCATAACATCGATGAGATGTATCCAATTTCTAGAATCCTGGATAGAGACTAAGCTATTGCACCTCTGGTCTCATTTTGACCTAACTATGGCTATGCTTGAAACAACATTGCCCATTGTAGCCTTCGTGCGATGTCAGCGCATTAAAAAGTCGAGTGGAAAGGACCTTGCTAGCTTAAAATTAGTTCTTAATGTGTATTTCATATTTCTTAATTTTCCTGCCAATATTGTTGATATTTTCCTTTAGATATCAAAATTGTTACTTCTGAAAAACAAGTTACAAATAATTTAAAAAGGAAGAAAAAAGGACGATGCAGAAAAGTGTCAAATAAAGACGATATTTTACGTCAAAAAAAGTCGAATGCCCCTAGTTGTGGTAAGATTTTTTATTGGTTTACTAATTTATTTTGCTTTTTATTGGTAATTTTTTATACAAAGCGATTTTCTGTTCTCGCTCTTCCTCATTGGCAATAACCATGTTTATTTTTTATATTCTAAAAGTGGGATCCCCTCCCCCCGCTACAGGCTGTACTGATTTGTCTACGGGGCCTCCAACCCGAATTTAAAATGTGATCAAGGTACTTTGCAGCCATTTAGAGGCCTCTAGGAATCCGGAGGCCTGGTGCAGACCGCCCTCCGCCCCCTTTAGTCTATCTAACGGTTGGAAATCACATAGAATATATACCCTTTAAAGAGCTAAGCTATACTAAATGACCCATAAAGTTATTTTAGGTTGCATAAATATTTATTCGTCATTTTATTTGTGATTGTTGATGATATTATTTTATAGATAATGGAATTCTTTCTTGTGATATTCAAAATATAAATACGTCTGTAACTAAGCAAAAAAGACCGTACAGACGTAAAACGGAAAAAGAGAAATCTCTTTGCAAAAAAAAGATTGATGCGCCTACTAGTGATTGTGGTAAGTTTTTCTAACCTGTACTAATAATAAAGCTGAAGAGTTTGTTTGTTTGAATTCTATGATCTCAAAAACTATTGGAACGAATTATTTTGTTTTGTGTTGAATATTACACTTATCGAGGCCCATATAACATCACGCTATGACTTATATGAATGGAAAAGCAATGAAAAATATTGTAAAAACGAGAGATTATTTTACTTTTTAAAAAGCATCCATGCGTGCGCTGCATAAACGGTGAAAGTTAGTTACCCAATAATCATGTATTACGAAAATTGATCCGAAAAGTTTTTAAAAAAGGCCTACTGCGGCATACGTGTATCTTATATAAGATAAAAAAGCACATAAAGGGATGAATATGGGAGTGGAAGTTAGTATAAGGCATTTAATCGTTACCATGACAACTATTGTTTACAATTCTATTTGTCATTGTAATTATATTCCGTGTCATCCTTTTCCAAATCCGTGATTAAATGTTTACGCTGGATTAAATAATGTTTTGAATAATTCAAATCGGTACAATCTTTGCCTTTAATTTCAATGCATATATTATGTGAAGCACACGAAAATATACGCTACTGGTCGCTACTAGATGAGGCTAAGTACTACTTTTACAACAGCTTGTACTCAAACAAGTTTTTTTTTTTAATTGTGTTTGTTCCTAGTCTTTATTTTTTTTTTTTCGATTTTATCAAACAAAGCCTCTTTCGTTTTCATTTTTGCGGTGCCATAGTCAACAAGGAACCCTTGTAATTAGGCTATGACCGTCGGTCTGTGGTATAGCAGTAAAATAAAATTTTGAAAAAAGATTTTTTTTTTACGTTGGATAGATCTTTCAAAAATAGGTATTAGGGGTGTAGTAAGACCGTTTTTCGATTTAGTTAACTGTTCGTAATGTATTAAGTTTCAAAATTCATTAGAGTTCAATATCTAAACCCTTTACACACCTTTAAGAAATATAACATTTGTTTGTATTTTTTGCAAGGCGTGTCAATTCTACTGCGCACTAGGTGGGGTAAGCCCCGGGTTACAGTTAGTAGTTATATACGTACTATTATTAATTATAAGTACTAGCTTTCTGTCAGCGGCTTCGCCCGCATCTTTTTCCCGGTTTTGCAACATTCTGCATTGCTGCTCCACTCTTATTAGTCATAACGAATTTTCAATTCGAATCAGTAGTTACTGAAATTAGCGCCTTCAACTTAACAAACAAACAAACTCTTCAACTTGATAATATTTTATAATACTTTAACTTTATAAATTTTATTATACTTTATATTATTATAGTAAAGAAGTTTCGTTCAATCGGAATGATCAATCTTCAATTTTATTAATTTGGCTCACAGTTTTCCTTTTGAGATACATAACCGTAAGAAGTAAGAGAGGTTAAAGAAAACACATTTTCCAGGTTTATGTGATAAAACGTTTAAGGACGCCAAAGATTTGAAACAACATTTGACTGCACACGGTTCTAATAATGATTTGTGTTGTAAGCTTTGCGATTTCAAAGGTAGAGATTTTGCTGATATGTCATCACATAGGTAAGTGATTGTGACAGTGGGGAAGCATTAAATTCAAATAATTGTCAATAGATGGCGGTACTGTTTATTAGATTTCTGACAATAATTTACTCGAAAAGATGACTTCGAGATGAACTGAAAACTGTAGTTTTCATTCGTTTACAAATAATTTAATTGAATAACAAAATTGTAATAATTTTCGAAACTTAGGCTGCGTTCACACCAAACGCAACATTACTATACAATCGGCGGTGGCTGAATCTGTTTAGTGTGAATACATGCTTACTTATTAAAATAAACACGAAAAGATAAAAATATAGGGCGGTTTATTTATTAGAAAGGTCAGAATAAATCGAAATGTATTTCATAATATTATATCGAATAATTGGAAAAAAATAGAGATAAAAACGGTTCGTACTGAGTTCCTTCACTGTTGCCCTCGGTACAAGGTCTTCTTTAGATGTACGAACGCCTAAGACTGAATAAATCATTTGATTAATCAATTATTGTATAGCAATGTAATGTGTACCTACATAAATTCTATGTTCTCTTATACTAATAATAATGTATATTTTACAGAATTCGTCATCTCCCAAAAGAGTACAAGATAGAAATTAAGTGCCATTTATGTAATAAGATTTTTCGTGTGCCGTTACGCCTACAATTCCATTATAGATCAGTGCACTTGAATCAAAAAGGTGGTAAGTGCACAACATGTAATAAAGAATACATTGATTTCAAGAAATGGGTGAGTCACGAACGGCATCATTTCTCCGAAGGATTTATATGCGATGTATGTGGAAAAAGGTAAAAAGCAAACGTACATTCTTTTTGGTTTTATTGTTTGTAAAGTGATATTGAGTAGTACCACAGTGTAAAAGCTTAGGGTCAGTGCAACCTCAAAGAAGTACGAGTTATTATAATACGGGATTCCGATGACTGTGCAAGGTCAAATATCATATCATATAATTTGTCAGTTCTGACGTTCCGCGACCGACGAGACGCAACGAATTTGCCGTCAGATATGCACCGACCCTTATAGTGGGTCATCGCCTTTTATGAAGTTTCGATGCCGCTTTTGTCTTTACTAGACATTCGTCATTTTTGCAGTGTTGTTTTTTTTTATATTCTATATATTCCACATACAATACTCATATCAATATACGCGTTTAATGTAAAAAAGAAATATATGTATCACAAAGCACATGTTTTATGGAGCAATAATTATCGTCAGTCTATAAGACAGAGGCGTCCAGACCGAAAAATGGGATGGATTGGCCATGGCCCAGAGTGCATTGGTGGTTGTTAACAACTGCAGATGCAGCCGGGGCTCAAAATGCTTTCCGGAGCACGGAGGAGTTCAAGATTATTAATTTCGATCACCCATCCTGTGACTGGCACTGGCAAATGTTGCTTAATTTCCGTATCGCATAAAAATGATTAACTTTTTTGTCAACCAGGTATTTAATGCGATCTCAAATTGTAGAGCATATCAGGCAGCAACATGGAGAAAAAACATTTATTTGCGATATATGTGGTATGGAATTTAGACGCAATTTTAACCTAAAGGTTAGTGGTATTCAATAACAACTTAAAGTGATAATAAATATTAGAATTCTGCCTTATGGTTCTGTGCTATGTAAGAGTGTCTTATTTTTAGAAATAACAAATCTGTGAATATTATTGTAAGGCTGCGTCCAGACTATGGACATACTTTCAGTTAAATAAAAAAGACCGCGCGTCGTGGTGTGTCAAGTTGCCAATTAAATATAATAATTTTTGCATATTTTATCCGGTCGGTCCGAGACTACCATACTTGTTATGGTAGTCTCGGACCGACCGGATCGAAAATAATCCCTAATGACTAAGAACCACTGTTGTAAACTGTCCATCGTCTGCACAGGGTCTCATTTGATTGAGGTTTCTGCAACATTATTTTTGTTTTAGCAACACATTAGGACAAGACATCACGTTACCAAAGTGCAGTGCACACATTGCGACAAAACATTCAAGAATGAAGTGATTCTCAAATCACATTTAAGAGAAGTCAGGACTGGAAAACCTTATAAGTGCGACGTCTGTTCCAAATATTACAGAAATCCTAGTCTTTTAAAAGCTCATATGATTTGGCATATGGATGTCCGTAAATTCTCCTGTGGCATCTGTGGAGGCGCATATAAAACTAAACAGTATTTAATTACTCATATGCTGAAACATTCAGGTCATTTGCCGCACAAGTGTGAACACTGCCCTGCGTGTTTCGCGACAAAGTCACAATTGAAAATTCACACGTCCATACATACAGGAGTCCGAAGACACAAGTGCCCTCATTGCCCAAGAAGTTTTCATGGCAAAAAGGTTATGTTGGCACATATGGGTAAATGCCACAACACATTATAGTTATCTACTCAAAAGGATATCTCAATTGTCTATTTGACTTTTTTTGTTAAAAATATTTGAAAACTTTAATGATCATATTAAACCTCTATCAGATTTATTCTTCTCCAAAAGATATCATTAAATAAATTATAAATATATTTATTTATATTCATTTAAATTTTCCCGAAAAACATTCAGCCACGTGACATTTCGAGTCGTGATGTTACATTTCAATAATGCATACCGGTTGCACTAGCAACTTAAGAAGTTTAGTTTATTTAAATGTGACGTCACAATCTCTGCCATGGCCGCCCGTTTTTTGGAATCCACTAATTGTAAATCACAAGTTTCATTTTGCAAAATTAAAATGTGCTTCAATTTATTTTTAAACAAAACTATTGTTTTATGTAAGTTACCATTTCCAACATATCTTATTATTTTATAATCAAGGGTATGTTCCGATATACACTGCGAGCACTGCGCAGTGGTCTTACTGCTAAAAAATCCGTTCCGTTATGGACTGCCAGTACACTGCTACAGTACCCTAGGGAAATTTATGACGTCATAAATTGCCGCCATATTTGTACTGTGAGCACTGGAGATTTCGAGGTAAGGTGCTCGCAGTGCTTTTGATCACGTGATCAGTCGAAACAGAATTAGAAAATGATAAGTTTCTAAATAAACAAAAAAAAAAATACTTACGTTTATTATAAGATGGATAAATAATTTTTTTATATAATTTTCCAATTTTATAATATTTTCTTTTGAAAAGAGGGAATCTTTATATTTATATTCACCTTGCATTAACAAATTTGAAATGGCGCCAAAAAATAGGATTAACAGTATACTGGACTGCGTTCCGTTTTAAAAAGTCACCAATATAACTAGCTATAAAGGAACGGGCTTCCAGTATACTAAATTGACGTCATACTGTTCAGTGGTCGCAGTGTATATCGGAACATACCCCAAGTCTTCCTAGTAATTGCTGGGGCTTCCAATAGGCTTTCTCTTTCATTCATTGGTTATATTGGTCTCAAGTCATAATCTTTTTTGTCACGTACATTCTCGTTACACGGTGGCGTAGTGTGTCTCGGAGGGGCCAGTGGCGGATTTACCAGTAGGCTGAGTAGGCTGGAGGAGCCTAGGGCGGCAAATTTGGCAATTTTTTTATGTAAATTATTTATACACTTTATTGCACCACAAAGTAAGATATGCACAATGTGCAAAAGCACAGCGATCTTGTCCATACTGAACACTCTTACGAACTTAATCACTATATGAAAGATCACTAAACGCTCTGTAAAATATAGATACTTATGTGATAATTAATTTTTATAATATTCAATATTACAATTTAAATTCTATAATTATGTGACATATTTATTTTACATTTGAATATTTATTTTCTACTACCACGTCTTTTTATCGTATTTCTAGTACCAAGACAAAGTGATTTTTTAACAATTTTTCATTAAGTATATTTTCCAGTGAAGCATTTTGGAATGTGAAAATGATAAAATATAATAACAACGTGTAAGTATTTTTAAGGCATACCTTACCCCACCTTATAATTGGTACATAATGCTGTTTCTTGCTCAATCTTATATACTCTTCACTAAATCGTGGGTTGTAAAAATAATCTAGAAACTGATAAAACCATCCCCTAATTCACAATCATACTAATAACGGCAAAAAGCCGATGTAATGAGGACTATAGAACTCAAATCATAAAGTTGCAATTGCATCAATAGAATAAATGTAATGATAGTGAACTAAACTAGCGTATCGAATTTTAGAGGTCAGTAGGGGCGGCAAATATTGAATAGCCTACGAGCGGCAAATTTGTAAATCCGCCACTGGGAAGGGCCCTCAATCATAATTAGTTAGGGGGGTCTAATGAAATGTAAAATTTTTGCTTACACACGTTAAAAACCCCTCGAGCTAATGGGCTTCGTATCATTGATACGTCTGATACAGCGGTAACTACGTGCCTGCGTCAAATGTCCTTTTGGTTTGGACATGACGTAGTATGTTATCAACATTTACATCATTGGCGCTTAAATCTTTAATATCAATCAACCAATGTATATAAATGATTTAAATAAAAAATAACAATAACTATAACGTTGTTCTTATTTAAAAAAATGTAACTACTCACATATACTTACTTATAGCCTTTATTAATTATAATCATAATTCAATGCACAGCAAAAGTTCCCACAAAACAACTTTTGAAATGTTTAAAACTTTAATTAGCAGTATTTTAAGGTTTAATATTACCTAAGTGGAGAACTAAGACAGTTTTTGTATAACTGAGTTCGTTGTACACACGACAGAACGTCGGGCTTCCTTTCAAATCAATAAGGTTTCAAATCGAGTGAAGAAATTTAACAGATTCATATAACCTGACTTGTTGTTGACCAAAGTAAAAAGACTTCAAGCTTTGTCGCCGTGTCAAACTTGGTTTACAAATAGGTAGGTAGGGACTATATATCGACGGGTATTAGAATATACTAATGTAATCGGCAAACTGATGAAAATAAAATACGTAGGTAATATTTTGAATCCTGTAAAATTATATACTAAAGTATAAATTGATCTTAGTGACATCATTTTAAGCTGAGCAAACACAACACAACTGACGACACTGGCAAATAGGTTCAAGCTGGTGATTATTAGTACCTAACTAATGATCATTCAGTTTGACTGATTAACTAAATTTTTAACTGATTTATATATTTTCTTTATTCTCCATAAAAATTAGAATACTGTAAAATGATCTTTAAGTGTTCATTTAACAGAAATATTTTCGAAAGTATTAATATTATTGAAATATACTAAACATTTCACAAACACGTTGATAAATGTCAAAGTTAGAACTTAAACTTTTGATCGTTTTCCTGTAGTTTTCTTTTTTTTTCATTTTCACTAGTGCATAATCATAGGACCCATGTTATTATAAGCCTAGTAAAAAGAACAACAACTGACTTCTGAAATGTGAAATTAATGAACATACATAAAAGCTATTCATAAAATAATTACATAGCACACAGTCTTAACATAGAACCTACTCCTTTTTAAAGCTTGTTCAAAACTGAACATATTTGTAATTAAGGGAGAGAGCGTTTATTGTTCTAAGAGAGCGCTGCTACGACGGTAAAGCTTGACTTTCCCGTTTCGGCATCACTCTCTTATTTCTATAAATATTTCAATATAAAATATAACATTTTATTCGATTTTTTCGATTAATAATAATTCATCTCTCTGTTGATGTCATATGTTTCATTTTATTTTTCATATTTACATTCTTAAAAATATCTTTACTTCTCAAATTATTCAAAGTATCAAAATCGACAGAAACGACTACGTTTCAGAACGTAGTCGTTTCTGTCAAATATAGTAAACATTACTGTCAAATGTTTTCTTACAGTCTATATTGAACCTTAAAACTTTTAGCATTGATTTTATAATCGATTTGCATTAAATTGACATTTGTGTTAGATGCCGAATGCTTTGTTTTTATGAATTAATTCATTTTTGAAAACTAAATGTTGTTTTGGATTTTAACAATTTGTAAAGAATCTTGTGATGTCTCGACAAAATGAAAAAGTTTGTAGAATCTGTCGAGATGTAAATTTAACAAATGGAATATCGTTTGATACAGAAAGTGATTTGTTGCGCTTGTACGAGTTTTGTTTTCTAATAACTGTAAGTATTATTCTATTGCTTGTATCGTTTTAATTTAAATAAAATTTATAGACAAAATTGCAAAAAGTCTCACGTTAAAATATAATCTTACTAGAAAAATACATAAAAGACAATGGATAATGGAGGGATGGTAATAATTTTAGTATTTTTATGAACATTTCAATAAATTTTATAATGTAAAAATAAAAAGTATGTTCCATTTAGATTGATACAAATTACTCATAATTACCATCACACTGAAAGCATCTGACTTACAAAAAAGGAAAATAATGCTTCGGTCTTTTCTTTTATAAACAGTTTTATTATCCAGTAACATCAATAGTGGAAAACAATTAGATTGTTCCAAAATTGAACTTTGGAAATGTCACTTGTGAGTTTTTGTACTTTCTTTTTTAAAATAAACACTCATTGTACTCTGTATCACTCACTGTATTCAAACAGTTGCATATAAGATCCAAAGAATTTGAATAAAAATCTCATAATCAGCAGTTCATTATACAACATCCTAATTGTGACGAGAAATTAATTGTAGATAACATCAGATGACTCGCCGAGATATATGTGTATTGGATGTACAAGAAAATTAAAAGAGTTTAGCGAGTTTAAAAATCAAGCTTTATTATCTGATAAATTATGGAAATCAAATAATATAACAGTAAGTACATATAAGTAGTATATAGAAGTAGTTAACCTTTAAAAAGTAGGGCTGATACAAATCCAAACATTAGTTTTTGTATTCCTCTACATTTTTTTACATTTGGTAGGATCTAAACTAAATGATTGTGGGGTAAGTAAGGATAAAATTTTTTTTTCACAATATTTGTTGCAATTATTAAGTCATATCATCAAAATTAGGGTCAAAATTTTGCTTGATCGGTTTGCTGCTGGTGCAGCCACCTTATTTAGTGTGATAGGCATAGATTTTGTCAAGGATTTACCACCGTCGTTCTTAGAAGGCGAGTTTTAGACTTAGCAGAAAATTCCAGAGAGCACTATAGCACAGTCATATGTGTGTATATGTTAATTAGCTGTTCATTTACATCTTTGCAAGATTGATATACTCAGCTGACCTTACACAAAATTTTCTTTAATTATAATTTCATAACTTGAAAAGAATTAGCTGAACTTAAGTTGAATGTATGAGTTGATATGATAATATTTAAAAATAAAACATTTTAAACAAAATTTAACTTTTTTTTAATATGCAGGCATCAAACAATGAGATTAAGCATGAAACATTTATTGAAGAGATAAATTTTAGTCACCTTTCAAACTTCAGTAATAGTGATGATGTAGGTAAAGAAAAACATAGTTCACATATTAAGGGGATCAGTGAAATATATGATTGTAATATGTCAAATGATCTTGAGTACCAAAAAGAAGATGTAGACTATTTTGATGATCAAACTTCTTTAATTAATATGAAAGTCAAAGAAGAATTGAATGTAGAAGGTAATTTTAACTGATCTAGTTAAATCACTTTTATTCAATTAGATTATCAAATCTAGTTAATGTTTTATGTCTTATTTTATTTTGATCTAGTATCTATGAGAGCGTCAAAGAAACATTGCCAGAACAGAAAGAAGAAAAAATCTGATGAAGGTAAACCTTTACCAGAAGCACCAAATTTAATATGTGGTGAGTTAGCATTCAATAATTGTAATTATTGTTGTTATTTATCCTATAGTTAGAATTAATACTATTATTATATACTATTAAATAAACTTTTTATCTATCTATCTATCTATTATCATATAACTATTATTATATATTTTGTATTCCTAACAGTTATTTTAATGTTCCAAGAGAGGTAGTCTGCAGGTTGTCCAAAGCTAGTCTGTTCATATTGAAATAGTGCAATATACATGTCTGTCATAGCACTATCTTTTGAAATACAGGTAGAAACCCGTTATTTTCAAAGACGCCATCATGACAAACAATGTAACGATAATAATTATTTAGTCTGTGTAAATACTGAAGGTTATATCAGTTTATTTAATACAAAATGTAAGATTTTTGCTATATATATTTTTATTTTAAGAGTCCAAATATAAATACAAACAAACCTGCTACGCGACTATAAAAATGGAGCCGCGGACATCGCATTTTGTGGTAATTGTGCAGTTGTATTTATCGTTTTTATAAAAATAGGATAATAAATTTATGCTTAAAAATCATGTAACCTTTATAGAGTTATCTAAACTATTCTGGTACTAATTTTTAAACTTGTAGCTATTTTCGATGTTTTATAAAGATAGTTTTGTACGCCAGTTACACCAATATGTCAAATTTTCACAATGGATTTTGAGCCCCAAAAACAAGCTGTTAAGGTTTTAAAATTGTGTGAAAAAACCTGATTTGTTGTTGGCTATACATATCCATTCCATTTTCACTTGTTATAGAAATCTTTTTCAGGTTTATGCGATGTAGATTCAATTGATAGTATAGAAATGAAACAACATTTGGTAGATCACAATACAAATGATAGTTTAAATTGCAAACTATGTGAGTTTGTTGGTAGAGACTTTGCTGATATGGTGACGCACAGGTAAACGTTATTTGTTGTTTGCTTAGTATATTTAAAATAAGTATAAAGTTACTTTTTAATTTACTATACTTACAGACACTAACGTTAGTATATATAGTCGAGTAGAAGTACCTAATCACTTGAGTCTAAGTAATTACTTACGGCCGGTTTCTGGATTGAGAACATTAACAATATCTCTACTGATTATTATCAACAACTTCAGTTTTTTTTACTTTTTTCAAGGCAAAAAATCGTAGTTTTATAAATTTTCAAACTTTCGCGTTGCATTATATTAGATTGTAGAAAACGGATATTAACGCGATAGATTTCGATAGTTAGGTTTTGCACCTACCTATATTTCCCGACGTTTCGGGCCACCGTGAACACGGCCGGTGTAACCTGCCCTGCGATTCTGTAAAACTTCAAACCCGATTTCGAAATCACTCGGGTGTCCGAATTCACTTCAAAAAGCGGCATCCGCTCAAACTTGAATTGGTACTAATGTTTCGTGAAATAAGTGAAGTGAGTTTCGAAATGATATAGGATTAAAATATCTATTACACGTTTAATCAGTCAATTTTGTTTAGTATTTTTATACAAAAAATGGAATCAATAGGATTTCTTTACTAAATGACTAGAATTCGGACACATGAGTGAATTCGAATTCGGGTCTGGATTGTTACAGAATCGCAGGGCTGAGTGGTAAGTTTAAGTTATACGTTAATGCGTTCACTAGTGAGCGCGTTAAGAATTTGTAGTTCTTGGTAGTTACCGCTAGGGCGCTGTACCGGATTCCATACTAAAATCTTAACGCGCTCACGATCGACAGTGTACGTAATCGTCAAAAAAACTTATACTAAGCGCTCTGGGGGCCAATTTTACTAAATAAATTTTGTTTAAATCGAATCGAAAACGGATTGAAAACGAACGAAACTACAGTTTTTAATGGTTTTCCTTTTCTACAAAGTGATATACGATATATTCTCAGTTCTATTTTTGGAATTGTATCGTATGTCACTTAGTAGAATAGAAAAATCATTAAAAACTGTAGTTTCGTTCAGTTTCGATCCGTTTTCGATTCGATTTAAACAAAATTTATGTAATAGAATTGGCCCCCTGGTCGAAACGTCGGCAAATATAGGTAGGTGAAAAACCTAACTATCGACATCTATCGCGTTAATACCCGTCTTATACAATCTAAGTCCTAGTTTTTATCAAACTGCTATCAACTGATGATTATCAAAACCTAAAATCAGAAACGAAAACCTGTTTAACTACAGTTTGAGACATTCTTAACTTTAAAGACTCAATTCAGAAACCGGGTGTTTAGCATATGTTTTTATCCAATAAACAAGAATATTAATGAAGTAAGAACTATCAATAGCTAATAATAATATTGTTTTAACTATTAACATTTGTTATTTCATTCAAATTCTTGTTTATTGGGTAAAAATATCTGCTTAAGTTATTATAACATATTGTCAGGTAATTATTTTTCTCCACTAGAGATATGAGTGTAAAATATTTGCAGAAGACTTTTTTTTATCATATATTGATTTTAAAGGGGCTTCAGTTTATTGGGTATATACTAAAAAATTAGGATCGAACTACGAGAGTAGATTGAAAAGTTCTCAGCCTGACCAAGAAAACAAAGTAAATAAAAACTTGTTTTATTTTTCTACATATTCTCCCCTTCTCCCGATACAATGGCACTTGACATAAGATTAAATAAAGAATCGAGCTGTCGAATGACAATAAATTAGTTTACATACTACCCTCAAATCTCCGAGAACTTTTCGAACTACCCTCGTATATCAACTGCCTTTAAAACTTTGATTCCCAAACCTAATCCAAGTGGACCCCTATCAGATTCAACGTGCTGTAATAACTAACACTATATATATTTTTATATATTTCTATTGAATTTGGGAATAAGGTAGAAATTTACTATAGCGGTATATATCCACAAAAATTCGTAAAATTTTAGTAAAAATCTATGATGAAAAGCAGTATAGATCTTTCATCCTCTATTTCATCCCCTTGCGGTTAGAATTAATCAAAACCCTTTCGTAGCGGATGGCTACGTCATAACATCTATATGCATGCCAAATTTCAGCCCGATCCGTCCAGTTGTTTAGGCTGTGCGTTGATAGATCACTATGTCAGTCAGTCACCTTTGGGTTATATATTGCTTAAATTAATTATGAAAAATAAATATTTTATATTCGTTGTCACGTGACCGCAAACAGCGCGTGATGTCACGCCCCTCTTACTTGTATCAGTACTCAGAGAATTGAACCTTATGCACAATAAAACGATATTAGTTTCAGAGGGTCTTGGCGTCACAGCGGCGCCATGACAGAAGTTGATGTTTCGTGGGAAAGTTTGAAAGCTAAATTTATATTTAGATTATAAACTTTTTAAACGAATGTTACTTTTTAAGATATATTTCATGTATATCTATAAAATAAAAAAGTTGTCTACACCCCTATTATACGAAGTTCTTATTATGTCATTAGGATTTAAATTCTGCTGTCTCTTGGAATCTAGTTAATCTATTTTTTCTTCCAGTTTTCTCAATTCATTTTTTTTTCGATGATTGGTATGATGACTGGGTAAACAAAAAAATCCTATTTAATTCGTCAGTCAGACAAAGAAAAATGTTGGATACTGATGTCTTTTTAGCTTCAATTTAATAAGAAAATACTTAGATAACATGCATTAAAGTTCAGGAGCGGGGCTCGCTCTGTCACAGCCATGTAGAAAATGTACAAAGGCGTGAGCGTGACGTCATGTGATATTTCAACTCAATATATTGCCGTAATTTATTGATTATGTAAAAAGTAAAAAATAACCTGTTGAATATTCTTCAATAATCTACCTGAAGAATAGAAAAAAAAAATAGTTATCATCCTTATTTTTTTTTTATTGACAGCTTTATTATACATTTTAGAATTAGGTACCCATTCTAATAATTAACATATTTCTTGTGACGTAGATATGACCATCACCCAAAGGAATATCGGATTAATCTCAGTTGCCATATTTGCAATAAAAAGTATTTAGCTAAGTTGGCATTACAATTTCACTATAGAGCTGTTCATTTGAAAAAGAAGGGCGGCATCTGTACACAGTGTGGGAAACAATTTAGTACATATGTCAGGTGGAGGGACCATGAGAAATTACATAGAACGGAAAACTACAAATGCGAATTATGTGACAGAAAGTAAGTTGAAAATGTCTATCTATTTATAAAATGAGATTTTTTTTGTCACTTGAAATAATAGGCAAAATACGAAATGAACGTTTTAATTACAGATCTTATTAAAAAAAGGAAATCTAATACATATTTTTAATATTAATCTGAATAAGGAAAATGCTCTTTATTCTATCTTTTGAATGATGACTATGTTTTCATATTTAAATAATTGAAGGAGGCAAAAAATATATAATAGCACATCACGCATGTCTCTTTTTTTTTTAATCAATGCTAAGTTATTTGTACGTTAATCAGAATCTGATGGCACAAATTAAAAATAATAAATTTATTTACACTGACTCGACAGTTGTCAACACTGACAATTTATAAATGCCATATAAAAATCGTTTCTTATGGCAATATTAACAAATTGTTAACTGTAGACAACTGTCAGGTCAGTGTTAAATTTTGTGAAAATACTCTATTTTTGTTGATAATTATATCTCAGACGAGAAATATTTGTTTTAATGATAATAACAAAATTACTCTTGATACTTAATGTTTTCTAAAGAACTAATTAATATATATTCGTTTGCGTGTCGACTACTAGAATAAAACGAATTATGAGCGAAGGAAAAGTGAGAAAATAGAAATGGTGAAAGGAAGAAAATAAACAAAAGCGGATTTGATTTAGACGTGTAAGCGTAACAGACAGTTGCAACATTAGTTGAGATTGGTAGATAATAAAAAATACTCAAAGTATAGCTTCTTTTATTTATTAATGTTAGATTATGTTTGTGTACTATACCTATTATGTCTTACGCAGTTTGCTAATCTATGTCAAAATTTGCTGTGATCAGAGTTCGGTCAAGATTATGTTCAATGAGGCAGTTATTAAAAAGTTTTTAATAAATTAAAATATGACAAGTATCAAGATTTCTATATCCTTTTCCCCACAATTGTTCTACAAATTAAATTTTCCCGATATGCCATCAGATTCTGCTAAACCCATACCTACCTACTTTTCAAAAAGCATAATTTATTTATCTTTTCAATCTTATATTGTTTTAAATAGATAAAATTCGTGTTAATTGATGACCTCCGTAGCCGAGTGATTCGCTCGTCGGTTCCAAGTTATCACCATCTCTGTGGTTCCGAGTTCGATTTCCTTTCGGGTCAACGTAGAAATTGAACTTTTCTATGTTGTCTCGGGTTTGGGTGTTTTAGTACTTTCGCTGTCTCAGATACTTCTTAATACGGAATATTACGTATTTTAGCTACTCATCTTGGAATCTGTGCAACGTGTGTGCTGTTGTCTAATATTTATAAATACAGAGCACCTTCTTATGTTTTATATCCAATATACATTAGCTCAACAAAATGGAAACCAAAAATATATTTTTATAAAAGTGATACAACTACTCTCATTTTTTAGGTTCTTATTTCGACATGCTCTCAAAACGCACATGATCAATCATTCAGAGGTAAAAGGTTACGTCTGTGACATCTGCGGAAAAGGATTCAAGCGTAATTCCAATCTTAAGGTAACATGATATTTATATAAACAAATGTATTTTGCATCTGGTCTGACGTCACGAGTATACTACTTTATTAATTATTATATTTTATAAATTCCGCATTCAAATATTAATAAAAGATATTTTTTTTTTGCGATGATACTCATTTCTTTCGTTTAAGAAATTTGGAAAAATAAGTATGTTAGTAACAAGCATCTGAGTGTTCAGGAAATGACAGATTTTTTTTTAAATAGTGACAGATGAATAACATTAAACTTATATGCCATTTTTTTATCTTGTATAATGAAACATTTATATGCGACTACCTTCACAGCTGCATCTTCAAACCGCGCACGACTCCAACAAAGTTATATGCAATCATTGCGACGGCACATTCAAGAATCAGAAAAGTCTAAAGGCACATTTGCAAAGAGTGACAAAGGATAAGTCGTTCCAATGCAACGTGTGCTCAAAATATTTCGATACACCAAACATGTTGAAGAGACACATGGTCTGGCATGGTGACGAAAGGCCTTACATATGCAGTGTTTGCGGTCTATCTTATAAATCAACCAGTCAACTCAATCTACACATGCGCAAACATACAGGAATTTTACCCTTTAAGTGTAATCAGTGCACCAAGTGTTACCCCACTTCGAACCAACTTCGGGAGCATATGAGCAATCATTCTGGTGAAAGAAGATACAAGTGTCCGTTCTGTTCCAAAAGTTTCCACCATAAGAAACTAATGGTAAAGCATTGTTCTAAAAGTCACGATGATAAGGCTATGGAGACGCAAAAGCAAGAGTCTATTGGAGGAAGAGATGTTTTGTAGACGACTACCCTTGCTAATTACAATTGTGATTGTGCGTCGTACCACCGTTTATTTCGTCCTAGGTTTTCGCATGCAAACTTTTTGTCTTCGATCTTCTACATTATTTATTTTGAGTTATCCACTTTTGGTAATTTGAAATTTTGAGTAATCCAATATGCTATTTATGAATATCAGTTCGTGAAAATGTGTCGAGTTAGAAACATACATACAGAAATAATATACAGAACTGTTTCCGTTATGCTTACGAGTTTTAACTCAAGAAAAATGTATACTATATCAAATCAAATATAATAAAGTTAAATTATTCACCAAACCCGAAGAAAAGGGGTGTATAACTGTTCAACTATGTTAATATTATTTAGGTTAACCATACGAACTGTTTTTATATTTCTTTTTTGTTTGTTACAGTTTTTTTTTTGCTTAACGTTTATTAAATCAAGTTCTCAAGCTTAGTCAGCCTTTCATTAATTTGCCTAAGCATCGAACACAATGACGCGTAGAACGTAATAGCGTATTCATTTTATGGTTTGCTGGAATCAATATGTGTGTGTTTATTACAACCGAAGTTTGTGACGTTGATCTCTACCCAAATATAAAGACTTTGCTGAAAATCCCCCATCCGTGGCCCATTCTAAAATGTCCGGCTGTGACCGCGCCTGCATCGTAGTTCACTGTAATACAGAATATGTCGTGTTCAACGTAGAGGAAGTCCGGGAGACTTGAACCTCTTTTTACTTGAATTATCATATCTTCGTATAGATTTGTCGTCGAGACTAGATTTTAATTTATATCGTGTGTAATTTATATAGACTTGTTTTTGCATCATTACTTTTTAAATATTTCAATACTGTAAATTGCTAAGCCGATTTGAAGTAAAAATGGGAAATGGATCAACTCTCCCCACTATGAGGAACATATGATCAAAAGTCCGAGGAAATTCATTATCAGGAGTTTTAGTAATTTCTGTTTATTTTTTTAGTATCATCTTTCTATTAGAGTCTTTTGCGTAGTTTTGCTTTCATATATTTATTATTTGGAATTGATATTTATCGTTATTCTCAAAAAATATTATAAATGTTATTTGCCTTCTGTTCACTTGTTTTATTAACATTTGTAATATTAATTGAGTGTAAGTAGTATTATGGCAGAAGAATCATCACCACAGATGGTATAATTAACCACTGATGTCTTCAACAAGAACAGTGGTTCAACTCTCCCGCATACATCACTTCGACATAAAATTTTCTTTGCAGAAAAGGCATTCAATTACTGTTAAAAAAAAATAACATCCTTCAAACTAGAATAATCAGCAAACAAGATAAAAATTATACACAATACTTACATCGATAAACACTGCCAGTATCTCAAAACTACTAATTATTTAAAATTTATTTTGTAGTGACCAAAACACTTTTCGCAACTTAAAAGCTAAACAAACCAGGCATTTTGTGAAATAGTGACACATACATTGTTGGTCTTCCATACATGATCTACGACTGTGTTAATGTTTCATTAGCTTGCAATTTACGTTGAAATTTGAGAAGTGGTTCAACTCTCCAGTGGGCAAGTCTTCCGGACTGCCCCTACTCTGTAAAATTTTTGGCAGGGGATTTTTTTTAATCATTCAATCTTATCGTTTCTGACCCGTGGAACACCAAAGTGGTTCACCTAGGTGTTCCACGGTTAACTTTTTGTACCCATGGTTTGTTTGCTTATAAATACAAAACAATCAATAAAGATATGCTCAATCAGATTTTTCTCGAGAATAAGACTTAAAATCTTTTTATTCAGTGTTATTAATACATTTAGTATGTTTAGTTCTGAATTGAAGGCTAATGTTGTAATTGTACCGAACTTCTAATTATTTCCTAATTTAATATTAAATTAATAAAATAAATAAATAGAAGATAACAACACATACATTGCTTAGATCCTAAGTAACTAAAGACCTTGTATATGGAATAATTGTGTAAAAAAATCAGAAACACCGAAGATAAGTCAACACTCAGTCATCCAGAATATAGAATAGTTTATGTTCTATATTGACTCGGATTGATAGGAAATCCAACCCGGTAGACACTTAGAGAACACTTAGAGAAAGTGAAACCTTGAAGCCGGTGTGCCAGCCTTTGGCCATCGAGGTCGACATTATTATGTCGTCTATCTAATACTAAATGATTTAAAATTTAGAAAATTCTTAATTCAAACTAAAATTTTAGAAGATGAATTCATTGATCAGAATAACATTTTGTCTATATATGTACAATAGATTTAATTCATTAAACTATTTACTGAACATTCCCATTAATATTCACGTTTATTTCCTCGAATTGGACAGTAAGAAAATAAACCTTGTCACTGACTAAACAACTGGCCTTTAAGAGAGTGTTTTCATTTGTTCCCTTAATAACTTAGTATAACATCATTGCTGTTAAATAAACAAGTAGCCTGAAGTAAGATGGTCTATATAAATTTATATAAGCGAATTTTCACGTTCGATAGATATCGTCTCGCACCTCGCCGCTGCTTCAAGGGGCTAGAAAATTTCAATAACCTAATATTTTACAGGCACGATAGCTGAGTTTTGCATGCCTCATTATTGGTTATTTTATATATTTATTTACAGGAAACTACAGCTTGCTTAAGCTGAAAATATATCGGTATTGCTACTCCAGCAATTTATTTTTTCTAGGTTAAAATTATCAGGCTATTAATATCCCCACTGCCGAGACATAGACCTTCCCAATGGGTGGAATCAAATAGAGAGAAAGAACGCGCACCTAGTGCGGATTGATGGGTGTTAATGACTGCAGATTCAGACGGGAAAAACGGCTTACCATGCCTTCTGAAGCAACGGCTCGACATTAAACTTTCGGTCATCCATCCTATGACTGACCGTTGCGAAAGTTGCTTGACCTCTGAACGCAGATCTAGCGCGCTAATCCAAGCCATCGATCACCTTCAATTTTCAAGGTATCAAATAAATTTTAATGTTTCGAGCTTATTAAAAAAAAAAATCCTTTATTACAAGGCTGCTTTACTTATATTTACTCATAGGGTAAGTAAATGTACCATACTACGGTTTATTAAAACATTTTATAGTTTGAACACTAAGAAAAATTGTAATGACACAAATAAAAATTATTTCATTCTACATAAGTATAACAGTTTTTATACGATGAGTGTAAGATATTTTTCTGAATACAAACCATTGAAACTAGTAAAGTATCGAAAGTGGTCTATCTACTAGGAAAAAAGTGATTGGCCATTTTCACATTACGCAAACTGTCGTTACATCCATTTTCATAAGTATTGAAAATGTGTTGGTATACTGGTTACACCCCAAAAGGGGGATTTCATCAAATGATTGACTACCTACCTACTCTGGACCTTTTTACCCACAAGTTAATATCAAATCACTCTTCGGACCTTCGTCCATAATTTTCAATGAAATGCACAACTGAAGTTTTAATATGAGAGCCTTTTTTATCGCGTTTTTTACGCGTTTCCTTTTGGGAATCAATCCGTCAAAGTCGTCGGCAAACGATTCGTTAGCATAATGAATTAGTGCCTCTTGACGGCGCGTCCCACAGCTTTATGTTGAGCCTGAATCAAACACGTGTTTTTAAACACCCTCTGTGGTAAATCTTCAAGCTCGCCGTTCATTTTCTTTTTATTTTTTGTATGAAACAGTCGAGTCTTTACACTAAAGAAATTCCAATAGAAATATATTTTGTTGCCATATTTAAGCACCTATCTTTGTGCGCGGTGGTATATCATAATCCTTGTACATAATATAGATACAGTGACTTATGTAACGTGTTAAGAGGTAAAATCAAATACAATTAATTACACAAAATTGAAAATGAAAAAGAATAACTGTGACGAGCCTGTAACTATTGTTTATTAGTAGTAATAGATTATTTATAGATATTGTTTTAAAACAAGCTTATAATAATCTGCTATGATTGATTCTTAAAAATAATTTATAAACCTACACGTTTCTTGAATGTCCGCCTTTTGCGTATTTTTAATGCAGTGAAGAATAAACAAATACCTAAAATGGATTACTGATTTTGGCTTCTAAATTATTCTTTATATTTAACATTTTTTATTCCATATTTGGTTACTTTCCTTATCTATCAAGATGATAAAAGCTACCTACTTATATGTTTTCTATCGGGTTAGATTATCTCTGTTTCTGTGTAGTTTCATTATGTGCCATTATAAATATTTTGACCATCTGTACATTTCGGTTTCTTCATTTCAAGAAAAGTATTAAAACGATATTTAACCGCCCCTTACAAGTCTAAGACAAAAGCCCTTATCGTAAAACTAACAAATCGCCAAATAAGAAATGGAACTTTCGTTACAAAAGAGTCATAACGTATTACTTATAAAGGTACCCTTTCTAGAATAGCTTTAAGACCTAATTCCCAACACGACCGACAAAAATATCACGTACAATTTAGATTGATAAATAATTCCGCTGAAATTATTTTATGGTTATTTGAATTGTACCTATAGCCATGGGGAGAATGGACATTATCCACCACGCATGCCTAATGGGGATTGGTGGGTGTTATCGACTGCAGATTCAGCTGTGACCAACGGCTCAACATGCCTTCACAAGCACAGCTAAAGATAGGTAACTAGTTTATATTCACCAATCCTATGACCAGCTCATGCGAAAGTTGCTTCATAACCGTATCGTTATCAAGGGCGCTAACCACCACGCTATCGTATATAAAGATACTTCTTCGTTATATAACTGATAATAGTTTATTTTTATGACAGGAGAAAAACGTAAAAATCTGTTTTTGAAGAATAATCAGTTGAGATTTTGTACTTTTCTCAATTCAGAAACCGGCCGATAATCACAGACAAATTCGAATGAGGCTATCTAATTCTTTGTTGTTCTATTAATAATCTGGATGCAGTGGATGTGTGCCTTTAGTAAATCAGTGTAGGTATCCTTTAAAACAAAATAGATTGAACAAGAGACAGATTGATAAAGGAGGTACTGATATGTAGTCGATGCTCCTTTTTTTAGAATACCTATTTAAGAAATTACTCGCAGTACGGTCATTTACCAATACCACTACCCAAGAGAGTTATAATTTTTAAATATTTTCTTAATTAAAAATAAGATTATAAAAATCTTATTTTAATTAATTATCGTTTATTAACAACAGTTCTTAAACCCATTATTACGAAGCAACATCTTTTGCATACATTTAATCGATACCGCGCGAAGCAGGGAAAGGCGAGCGAAATATAATTCCGGCATTACTTTGACACGCACGCGAGCGAATATATTTTTTATGCTTAGCAAGCCCCGGCCGTGTCCAGAATATCATTGGGAAGTTTCCGTACCTTCGCTCATAAACCTACAACCTAACGATATCGTCTGCGAAAGCAAAAACATCTAAAATAATAAATAGCCAAAG